ATCAAGGTCAACGAGTCATCAGGATCATGCGCTTGATGAGTGGATGAAGATCCGCATGCCGTCCCTAGTCAAAGTCCAACCGTCAGACCGCATAACCCACAACATCAGGCAGGTCAAGAATCGTGAGGGTTACCGGTCCGTGATATACACCCCTCCGAGATGAAACAGAACATGCTACCGTAGAGTCTACGTACTTGAGTTTTACAATCGTTACGACTTGCCTCGCGGTTGTCGGAAATACACACTATCCAAACCTCTATAGCGCAACTCTCAAAGCGAGAAAAAAGTAAGCCAGAAAGTAAGATATTCTATATCATCTTCGAGTGTGTACGCATAGTATGCGTCGTACACTGAGCATGCGTATATTTCGGGCAAGTGATTTGGTCATTTATCGCCCATGATCAGCCGCGACGATTGGCGGCTGTACACCATGATGGGATCGTTACACTCAGTTCACAACCCGAACACTAAGGGTTCCAACTAGCCCTTGAGAAGGCCCGTTAATGCTGCCTTCTACCTTGGTCCACCCAGTGTTCCATGCAGTGTGTAATAAGGTACGGCTGCAGCGTCACCCAGACTCAAGATTTCCTCGCGAGGTTGTCTTAGACAACCTGTCGAAGTAAAGATTGATCATCGCGTGAATTGCCTATCGTTTTGCACCGTGCTTAACATGCTATTTGTACCCCATCTTCCTTATCTGTTAGTGTTAGCACACAACGTATTTTCCAGTTTCATCGGGTAATAAACGACTGTAAAGTCGTCGACTTTTCGTTGACAGAATGCAACACCAATAAGTACTGAGATGTAACGGCTCTCAGCTGGATGCTGAAGTGCCTTAGTGAGTATTCGAAGCTTCGCCTACAAATAGAAGCGGGAAGTGATAGAGAGGTACTCGGTTATACAGAGCGAATAGTCAAGACAATAGACTGCACTCTGCGTTTAAGAATCATATCATGGATTGAGCTTCTGCTTGATACCATACAATAGGGAACGTGTGTCGTTCGGAGGGAGGTCAGACTGCAATACCCATGCCATTAGCCCACCCAACTTGTTGAGGTTGGCGAATACTATCTTATCTTGCAGTATGGGCTGGGAATCGAAAAAATACCCGTTGAAGGTTCCATTGCCTTTAGGATCGGCCCCCTCAGCCACGAGTTGAGAATATCTTATCTGCTTCCCATGTCGGTTCTCGCCGTAGAGAGGTACCTTCAGGGAATGACATCTGGCAGTAATTAAGGGTGTTAGTGCTATCACTCACCCCCAGACCGAATTTGCTTGGACTCATCGACTCATAGTATAACCATTTTAAGGCCATCGTTTCCACCCAAAGCATGTTGGATTGTCCCCTGGGGTCATTATGATTGTCGTATCCCATCCAAAGGCACATGTCGATCTGGCTACATAAGTCGATCTTCTTGTAGAAGTCGAATGAACCACCGATGCTGAAGGATGATGCATAATTCGACAATATGCGCGGATGAACAACTTACGCCACTGTAACATTAGCGCTCCTGCCCTCCCTTGCCACAAACAACTTCGTCCAGATCATCAGATTTCGATACGTGATCCACTCACTGTAGTTGCGGGGCCACTCCCAGTCGAAGTTGATGCCATCAAACGAATAGTTCTTGAACATCTCGTTAGCCGACTTCACGAAGGTGAAGAAGGGCCCTATCTCAGCATTGATGAATGGGATATGTTGGAGCATGAAAGAGATCCTGGCGCCGTGCTTGTCAGCCGCCTTGCGTGCCATACGCAAGTGGGCATCATCAGGAAAGGTCTTATGCAATTCGCCTGTTGACGAAGCGGAGATTCCCCCGAATATCAGTTCTGTGACTCCGCAACTGAATAGAGCATCGAAGTAAGCTTGGTCTTTTCCAGCCAATTCGTTCTCGCCCGTGTGGTAGGCATAGAACTCGAAAGCTCTCTGAGTCGGGAAGAGGGCCGCAGCAAAGATGAGATACAGGATGCGCAGCATCAGCGTTGGCAGGTTACGTAGAGCACGTATAAACCAAAAAGGAGGCTGAATTTCCCATCAATGAAAGTGAACAGGTGAGCGTACCGCTTTGTTCGCTTCCGAACTGAGCGAATCCCTCGTCTCGGATAATGAGAGAGATGAATGCGCGTGCGTGTTTTAGTAGTCAGCACGTTTTGGAGCGGACGGAAATTGGGCAGCTCCGGGCGCTACCAGCGGCCGAGGCGTAAGAAGCGTGAGAGATTTTATATTCTCATTGTCGGGGAGCTGAAGCTTCAAACGATGAAACCCCAGAACCAGATGCGAACTGCTGCGGAGAACACTGGGTTTCTAATCACTTCCTGGGAGCGACTCCCCATTGTGCGGCGCACATTGTGCGCGCTGGTTATGTCGTCTCTTCGTGCACCCCCAGCCGCGCAAAGCTACGGATTCCGTACTACGG